CCCAGTAGCTTCTTGTTCCTAGTAGCGATGCCCTTTGCTCCTAGTAGGGTATGTTGTATGTATCATGTATCTCTGCTTCTCGTCTGTGCTTATTTTGCTTGGATCTGTTTGGTGTTGTCGATGGGTGTTGTCAGTGTCAAGTTTTCTTGTGTTCGTCATTGCACTTGGTCATGCGCGGCCGGGTGGGTCGTCTATCTAAACTCTACCCAACCCTGCCAGGTGGGGAAAGATCTGGAAGTTGCCAAAGTGATGGAACTAGAAAGCCGATCATGTTGGGTATTCGATGTTGTCCAGTGTCATGGTCTCACCTCGGACTGCTTCATGCGCTCTTTGCAGTTTTCTAACCTTAGGTCAAGGGAACAAATGGACCGTAGTGGGAGTGTGAAAAAAGGAGGGTGGATCACTAATTAGATAAGGTGAGACTGTGCTAAGCCACTGGGGTTGTGATCGGAACGTCAAGTACTGCCACCCTTGACAATAGAAAAGGCCTGAGGGTTCTTCCTAACATACCCCAGGCCTGGCCTAGGCCCAGGCCTCCTGAATCTTCAGCCCATGATATGTGTGACGTGCCAAGCAGCTCCACCACCTTCTGTGTGGAGTGGTCAAAAATCCAAAGCGAATGCTCCTCAACGCTGGGAGTCAAAAAGACTCGCGCCTGGCTCGATCCAATCCAAAAAAAACGGAGGGTGTCAAATCTTTGTGCTTCACTGGAGGCAAACGCCTGTCTGTACGCATAACTATGGATACGAATGGATACGCTTCTACGTGGATGCGAGTGGCTGGCTTTGAGCCCACCAAATTCAAGTGTTTCCTTGAGGCTCTCTACTTCCCCGCCTGTACAAACATATCCTCAAAAAAGAAGTGGTATTGAAGCATATCGTGCCAGCCGGCCGCCCAACGAGGTTGCGATAAACCTCGAGCAACAAAAAACACCTTCAGCATGTGCATACTATATCGTACTATAATATGTAAGTTGCTCCGCGTCCCTGCCGCAACACTTAAACACCAAATGCTGCCTTGATTCTACAAAAGGTATGCAGGTCATGAAACATGGTTGATTCATGTTGATTCTTGATGATCTGAGAAACTGATTGTTCTTCTTGTTTCACTTGTCTTTTCACGTTTTCACTCTCGCCCTTGGAGCTACCTGCTGCCTGCACCTGTGGCTGGTCTGGCCCCTTTGCGAAGAAGCGAGCACAGCGACCTGACCAGCCATCAGGCTAATGCATTTGGCCCATCAATGGCAACAAACCGCAAATCAAACATGCAAGCAGTTCCTGTTTCCTACAAGAAAGCTAGGTTTAGCTTCATGTGGTGCTTTGTACCTTGAGGGGGGGCCATAGTTCAAACCACGGATACATACATATATATATATATATATGCAATGATTTGATGATTTGCCATTTGCAAGGCTTCATAATTATATCCCAACTGTATTCTAGAGATTCTAGAGTACAGTATGGTTGGAAAACTACAACAGTATATAAATGCCACAGTTCCCAGTCAAACATAATTGTGGTGAACAATCTGTCACAATCCTTGATATTTTGGTCAGAGCAAAACAGCTAGGCAGCATTTCTGTGCTTTAGCTACGAATCCCCAACCGGCACAACCCAACGGATACACGGTCAGAGTCAAGTGAACAAAACTATCCATCAAGTTCAAAGCGCTTGGAGTGAATGGTATAGTGTTGGGGTTGGGCCGCTGTGGTATGTCCCGCCTTTCGCTCCGAGCCCAACTCTACGACAAAAGGCTGCCATGCAGCAGTGACGGTCGCGAGTGCAAGAACACGCGAAGCTACGATGGCTGAAGCCAGAAGCCGGAGCACAAGACACAAAGCTCTATTAGTCTATATGTAATTGTAACAATGCAAGGATTAAACAACAAAAAACAATCATAAACAATCAAAGAACAAACGCAACAAACTTGGTAGCTACACTATGACAAAATGGCCCAGGGCAGTGTCAAACATTGAGGGTCTTCCTTGCGTTACAGCTTCTATGCCTACAAGCACGTCCCCCCCCCAAAAAAACATATATATATATATATAAATCACCGAAAGTGCCATGGATCGGCAGATTCATGGTGGTGTTATCATAGAAAACACTTATGTCCCTCTCCAAACTGTGCACCGATCAAGGCCAGTTAAACACAGTATTGAGGGGCAGCTGGAAAGAATCGCTGTCATTGGACACTGCAGGAAATGGAGCGGGAATCATGCAAATCACTGCGAAGCAAAAGTGGCAGGGAACCCTGCTTAGCGCCAGGATCTGCAAGGAAGGTTTCGGCCAATTCCTCGAAGCAACCAACAGCAGCGCCACAATAATTGTTGCGAGAATTGGGGAGAAATGCTCAACACCGTACCAAGCCAGCCAACATAGGCTCAGAAGGGTTAAGCTATGCGCGACGTAGATTCGTCATGATTCGTCCACATGTGAGGGAAAACAAGTTAAACAAGAGTAACAAGGTGAACCAGTTGTGGGTGCCGAGGTTCTCCATCCAACTTGCCCTCATTGACCAGCTCTTGGAGGTGCTCTGCATGCTCCTGATTTGGGAAATACGATCATGATCATGATACGATCATGTTTGACAAGCCAGTTTACCTGCAAGTCTGTGATACGGGGTGCACAAGTTCCAGCCTGTTATTCTCACAACGCACACCACTGCTGCTCCATAACAGGAGCTCCCTGCTCCCGTGCTTTGTGCACTCGCGGCGGTGTTGGCTCTATGGCAGGCTCCTTGAAGAGCATGCAGTCAAGCTCACCTCTACTGAAATGGAGATTCCATCGTGCCATGAGCTGTAAGTTTGGGTGAACACAGCGAACACACCTCCCAGCTGTAAATCAACCTTCCAATGAAATCCTGTATGCCACGATGCTTGCACAACGTGTGGCACAAAAAGCCGAGGCTGTCGGCGGTCTTTTTCTAGGTCGCCAGGGCGTCGCCCAGTGCAGTTGTGGCTGTTGCCCTTATGTGCAACTGGCCGGTCGAGGCTCACCTGCCCGGTGCGAACAAGTCCGATGTGAAGGAGGCAGAATCGTGGTTTGGTGAGTAGTTCGATGAAGCTACCTTGTTGATTGAATGAAGTTTCCGTTTGGAACTTGACAGGGCCGCTCTTGTGGTACATGACCTGGACCTGCACAAACATTCATTTGAAGATTTAGATAGGGAAGCTGGGAAGCTGGGCTGGGCGTGAGTGTCTTGAACCCTCAGGACATCACATGGCACACTCAGCCCGGTGCCCAAGGAGCAAATGCCCCAAATGCTCCAGTTGCAAGCAAGGACATCCTTAAAAGCCACGGGTCTGACCAGCCCGTCGAAGGTCAAACACATTTGTCTTGCCGGATCCCGCATGACATCATCCTCTTGGCATGTTATCGCTTCACATCATCACCTTCATGGAGGAAGGCGCAGGACGTGACCGCAACATGCTTCCAAGACTGGCAATCTGGGTGCACGGAAGTCAGCTGAGTCAAAAAAACTAGTCCTAAAATCCTGATCCCAATGACAAATCATCGCAATTCCAAGCGGCGGTCTCTTTGTCAGCTGTCTAGTCTGAACTGGAATCAGTGTTAGAATCTGTACTATGGTTGGAATCAGAAGATGCCTGATCCTCACAAACATCTACGCCATCCCGCATTTTCAAAATATGAAAACACCTATGACTTTCAGCACCATGTGGCCAACTGGTCAGTTTGAAGAAGTACTGATGTCCTTCAAATCACCCATCACAAAATACAAAATACTCTTCTGCTGTCCTGTCACTTTACAGCTGCTCTTTTCTGAAGATTGTTTGATGCAAATATACAATATAAATATATTGTTATAGTGTTTGTAGACAAATATGTCTTCAGTATGTCATTCGGAAAATCGTTTCCAAGCTACATGCTTTACTTTCAATCTCAGTTAGCCAACAGAAATCGTTGCGGCGGTGCAGCTGATTCTGACCCATGGGATCACCCACTGGTGTTTTGTTGCCACTCAGCTGAGTCAGTCAGGGTAAGTTTAGCTAGTTCTGTCTATAGTTCTATGATTTACTGTGCTGACCAAGGGTTTCCTTTCCTACTTGGTTGTGCTGCCAAAGATCCGTCTTGTTGGTGCGGGTGTTCGTCAACTCAACCTTGCCTGGGAGCGAGCTGCAGCATGGAATGAATGGCAAGACAACTGCAACACCGGCCCACACTTGAAGTTTGCAATGTTTCAGCACAAAGCACGTGCTTATTCTAGCAGCTGATGGCTGGAGTCTGGTGTCCTTCCATTTAAGGGGGTCCAGCCCAAATCCGAGTCGTTGGCTGCTGCCGCACTTTTCCTGATGCAGGTGAGCATTCGTCTGACACGCTCTGCTCGGGCTACTTAGATGTGGGCCAACTCCGGCAAGCTTTGTCTGCTCTCGAGCGGTGCGTCAGATCCACCGTGTTCATACTTCAGTTACATATAGCAAGCGTCATGTAGCATGATGTCCATTGATGTTGAATGCATCTGGTCACAAGTGTAACAACACTGAAACAAGCGATGGTGTACCCTGGTCCTTGGTCAGGCCATTGCAGCCCTTCGTGCTATCCTCCACCACTGTCTTGTTGCGAAAGTCGCTGCAAATGACTTAGCAATAGCGACGAGGGCCGAGGGCAATGAGTTTTCGCTATTGTCAATGCTCTCTTTTTACGTCATTACTGGCATTGTCCAATTTGTGGATTTGGGCAACCGCACCGTCTTCACAGCAAAGGTCATCGGTGGAGCCCACAGCATCCTGCAATCTCATTCGGCGAAGAACTAACAATATTTGCATATTTTTGCACATTATTATCCTCCCTATCATCGAACCACCCCCAGGGCAAGGGTTGATCGTCATTCAATATCCATTGGAGCCAATACTTGAATATACTTCAATAATATATTTGCATAACATTACATAACACGGAATATATAAAATGATAGAAACGTCAAGCGGTCAAATATGGTGACATATTGTTCGAAATCCGCAATCATTGGATTCCTACAGGAGGTCATACTCCATTGAAGCTGAATAGGCTTTCAGTGACCTGTCGGCTCACGTCATACTCTGCTCGCAAGCTCCCTGTGTTCCTTGGGGTTTGGCACCAGCACTTTGCCAGCAGGACAGTGGTGCAAGGCACAAGTTCCTCCAAGGATGGCAAAGGTCAGGGCTGGCAAGCGTTGCACAAATTGACCAAAGCTGGACAAGGTTGGGACATGGTGGGGGCTACGCAGGAACTTATATCTCCAGCTACGCAGCTACGCCACATAGCTGTGAACCTATTCTGTGTTGCCTTCACCAGCCAGCTGCGAAACCTGCTGCTACAGAATACCATGAGAAGCTCTACGGATTCACAAGAGCTGGAGTCACAAGTATCTGCGGCAAAGAAAGCTTCCGCCCAAGCCCAAGGCGACTGCTGACCTGTCAGCCAAGACACGGCTGCAGCACACTTCTGCGAAGTCTCCAACCGTGTCGTTGGCCGCAGGGTTTGGGGCATAATCACCTGAATCTGGCATATTGCATGCACAACTTGAGTGTGTAAGTAGTCCTTTCAGAATTTCATCCTGCAGACCGTAAGTTGAGTTTGGACATTTCTACGCCAACAGACTCTTAAACCGTTAAATGTATGCAACCGCCGCGGGCACCGTAATGTTCATAGATGCGTCTGTCATCCACAAGTGAAGCACGTTGTAGCCAATAATCTCTGCCCCAAAAGGATTGAACAAAAATACAGTGTACTGTTGTTGTTTGTGTTTGCATCAAGGGGTGGGTGGCATGATGATAATCTTCGTAATCATTGCATACTGCCAAAACCAAGGCTTGCATTGTGTCGTGATAGGTGACACGGATGTGTGGGACTTGCCAGCGTGTGATGGAAGTCATTTACAATTGCAGGTGAAGTGAAGCAGGGTAAGGCTAGGCGGTGTTGCTTAAAATATAAAAGGGTGTGCAGCAGTTCCCACAGGTCCCACAGGATATAGGTAGCAGCTAATGGAGGTGAACCATAGTTGACGTTGATAAGTTGGGCCGACAAGCCTTTGTCAGCGATGATTCACAACTGTTCAAGGAAAATAGCAGCTGAGAGAACACTTGAAGAGCTTGGTAAATAGTGATTGACCTATACAGCCAGTGTCACAACGTGTATGACACCCCGTATCAAGCAAGCCACTGGACTGTGTGTGTTGAAGTCACTGGAGCCACCCGCAAATACGCACCTCGATGCACCCGCTTGGAGTGTTACCAGTGCTGCTGAGGCACCTGTGCATTTGTCTTGGTATTGGACGCACTTCTTCTTGCAGCACACCTCGTCACTAACGCCCACCTTGGCTGAAGAACACCATGACATTTTGACACACTAAGCTTAGGGGATCGCAATTCAGTCCCCTGCCTGTGGGAGAGTTGATTACAACAGCCTCTGTTCGCTAGGACTGGTGCATTACCTGGCACCTCAGGACGAAAAAAGAACAATGACTAGTTTCATCTAGTTTCTAATTAGGCCTTCCCAAGCCCATTAGTAGTTGAGCACCAGCTGACCCTAGATCAGAAACATCCTGCCGGAGCTTCTGTTTTGCCGCACTGGGGTGCCAATCATTCAATTTGGGCGGGTGGCCGCCCTGCATCCTAAGTCTGCGCCATGTTCAACACAGGTGGCCAAAGGGAGGTCAACCCACAGCCTCCCGAACCGCTGCCACTGGGGTGCGAAGTCTGCGACCTCAGCGTTGCTGGCCCAGCCCTCACTGCAAGCAAACACGCTGCAAGTCCTTGTGCAGCAAGCCTGCAAGGAGTGGAGGAAGCTACCCTCCGTGAAATGATATATTAATTAGTTCTTTGTGACTCGTGACATCTGCATAGAATGTCAAGTGAGGTTATCTTCATCATAGGTGTAGATGATAGAGTTGCTTGAGACTTCACCTAATCTGGCCTAATGTTGACCTTTGATTTATCGGTAGCCCCCCCCTGAAAGACCTCAAATAGACTTAAAGACTGTTTTCATATGTTTAGTATTGGTAGAGATGTTTCCTTTAGTATAAAGGAAAGGCTGGATTTTCCAGGGGTGAAAACATTTAGCTTTATTTGGGGGGAATTTATTAATCTGTTCTGGGATTTGTTTAGCTTTATTCAAGGGATATTTATAAATCGTAGGTGGACATTATCGGCTCATCAGCATTTGCACAAAACACATCATCAAACTTGCATGGCCCGTTGGCAATATTGTCTGGCCGCCGGCGGTCGCCCAATGCCTGCCTGGTCCGTGTTTCCAAATTTGGCCTCCTGCATGTGTGTGCGAGGGAACATTGCAAAGTGACTCTGTGGATACATACTATATAAACACACACATATATATATATAATATAATATACATATACACATTATATATAAATACAGCACCCAGCATGCAGGCTAACAATCTTGTGAACTTCCTTTTGCTGTACATTAGCTTGAAACACTTGGTCGCAACACCCAAAATTCTCAGCGGTTATTATGGTTTGGCTTCAGGATGCTTCAGGCCTGCAAGGACTACGACATTTGCAAACCCTTGACCCTAAATATCCCAAAATATATACTTTAGGTGGGTTGGTATTGCGCGTTAGACAAGGTCTCCAAACCCACTCAGCCCGCCCGGCCGGCCCACCCTCAATGGATCCGCGTGCCATCCCTTGCCACATGTGTAGCCGCCGCACAGGGTATCACAGCATTGCTCCGTTGAGGTCATCACTTGGTGCTCCTTACAGCTGGATCCGAAGAATGCCCGTGAATATGCTAACCAACCTTGGTGCATTTGCCCTGGCAACTTGATGGGATGCCTGCACTTGCAGCTTGTGCATATCCCAGCGTACCCGCTTGACAGCCAACAAGGAGAAAAGTTTATAAATTGCTCAACATCTTTCACCCTTCCTCCCTCCCTCCCTCCCTTCCTGCCTTCCTTCCTTCCTTCTCTCTCTCTCTCTCTCTGCTTCGTTTGTTCTTCGGCAATGTATTCAGGAGCTGAGACCGCTTGTTCCCTGTTCCAAGCTCCTTGGCAGCTAGCACCTTGGAGCCCTTGGGGCAAACAGCGCTCAAGCATGTAGACTTGCAGCACTGCTCGTCCGACGGCTCCGTGAGGTGCAGCCCTCGGATGAGGCATCAAAGGGCGGCCGCTGGCTGGCCAGAATTGGTCATGGAGGTCATGCAGTTACATGGACCAACGCCTTTCAAAAGCTGTAATGGTCCCGATGCTGTAAGCCCTTGGGAGAAGACTTGCATAAATCTCTTCAAGTCATTGAGTCATCAGACCCTGATGATAGAGAAATAAATCAGAATGAGTAACTGAAAACAAGCCAAACCGATATATTATGTGCCATTTATGAATACAAGGGAAATGAGTAGAGTAGAATAGAATCGGATGTAGACAGAAGTATAAATGGTGCTGTAGCCTGGCTAACCTCGTCAGAGTCATGCAAAATTGCTTGCTGCACCCGGGAGCACACCTTTTTCCGGTCAGCCTCCATCGGAATCAGAACGCGACAACTGCAGCTTCTCTTCTGCGATCTCCTTTAAGCGGTCCATGATGAGTCTTTTGCGCTGGGAAGGAAACAAATCCAAACGACGAAATCGAATGTCTGGCTTCAGCCTCGTACCTGCAGGAAGCATAGACGGCAAACGGGCGCAAAATGCACAGGAAAGATAGACAGCAATGCGACAACTACGCTGTTCCAAAATACATGCAAAGATATGCAAAGGCTGTTCTGCCCATGATCTCAATGACCGGAACAAGCTCCAAAGAGTGCAAACCCCTATCGGTGTGATAGTAGATGAGCAACCCGGGTCATGGTTTTGGTGAGCCCAAATGCTCTCGGTGGTTTTGTGGATCACTGGCCGGTGGCCATCGGTGGCTCAGGTCTGTCCAAATGGCTCTAAGTGCTTCCCCATGTCCGTTGCTAAAGCAACAAAGGCTAATGAACTGAGTTGAACTAAGAACCCCTGACTCTCAACAATTCTTCATTGGTGCCCAGCTGCATAATTCCTGCACTGCGTCTTCATCCAAACGGTTCGTCTCTGCCAGTTCTGGACTCTCACGCAACCAGCTGCGAAAAGCCTCCAGCGCTTCTGTGAGGCGGAAACGCCGCCAGTCCTGCGCAGCCGTGTCCCAGTGTACACAAAGACTAAGGAATATGCTGACTATAGGGAAGGTACAGTAAGTAGTGATCTCTTCTTCCTGCAAGCCAAAATCATTTGTCGAATGTCCAGACACAAGCAACACTGGTTGAGTAAAATTATCACAACATCGCATACGCAGCTCCCAGCCAATGTTTAAAGCCTGTCTCAATTGCACACAGCCATGTTGTTGTTTTCCTTGTTTGGACCGTGGAATGCAGTCGCAACATGTTGTCAAATAACTGTATAGTTACTGTATAATACTGTATATATATATATTCGCATTTTTGTATGTGCAGTGGCGACTGGAAGACTCGATGTCCTCCCAGCTCTTTTTCAGGAGATTCTCAGGAACAGCACGAAGGTGCTCCTGGCACTGGAAAGTATTCAGAATGGCTTGCAGCTACCTAAGACTCTAAGACCTAGTCTCCAGTATTGTGCCTTGCCGGAAGTCAAGAGCAATTTTCCCCTGACTTCCTGGCCTGCATCTCCAAAGTCTGAATGACCTCGCCCATGGACATTTCCATGGTCACCTTCTCGTTGCGCAGCAAGGTGCTGGAGAACATGGCCAATCGGCGCCTGTCACTGTCTCTACTTGGGACCAATGAGTGGCAATTAATGGCAATTATAATGGGCGGTTATCCCTGGTTTCACGTCAGGCCCATTGAACACTTGGTGGGGCAATATCGACTAAGAGTGCACTGTCTGACCACGCCCAACGCCATGCTTGACGCGGCTGAGTCTAAGTGGTGCTTGAGTGGCGAGGGCGCTCAAAGAAATAAAAGGAACAAGGGAACACCTGCCATGCAAGCCAGGATTCTCCAGATCCTCTGTGCGAACCTGATTGAAAATAGTCTCAAGGTCTACCTCATCCAGATCTGGTAGCTTTTCCCCATCCAGCAACATGGTGACCTGCAGGCAATTCATTTGCCCCGTTCTTGCAGTCCACTGAAAGCACATCAACTCCTGGCCCTAAACGCAAGTCTCTGTTGGTGCACAGTGTCGTGGCCTCCTTCCAGCTGAACTCCAGGGGGCTCTTCACCTTTCGCTCCAACAAGCTGCGGAAATCCTCCTCTGCCAGAACCAAGCGGCTTCTTTTTCGCTTCTCCAGTAAGTCATCTTCTTCTTCAGTTTCTTGCCGCCTTTATCCCCGCGAAACAATTGTGGTCAGCATTAGCTGGGCACATACACATATATTTCTATATTTATGTCAATTTATCATGTGTTTGTGTATTTAAATGGAATGGCATCTTGGCATGACCTCCACACGAGGTCGGGAATTGCTACAGCTACTCAGGGTCACTTGCGGCATCTGCGCCACGAACAATATCCTGGGCCCTGGATGCATTCAGGCACAACTCAATCCAATCCTCGTCCTCGTGCCAGCAGCTACCACAACACATGCAGTTGCAGTTTGTGTTATCTTAGGGACGGATTCAATCCTGTCCGCACTGTCACCGCTGTGAAGGGACAAGCTACAGTACGTCGTTAGGTTGTTAGTCTGTGACAGCGGGGACATGTGGGGACACTTCTGCCCACTGGCTCTGCCGGAGGATTCAGGATGGCCTTGCATTTCTACCAACACGTCAGCAGGTAGAAAGCAAATAAAAGCAACGCAACGGTAAAACATTGATAAATCTTTCGTGCGGAAGAACATGCTTTCACGAACCTCATCGCGGATCTTTTGCCCTAAAAGGTCGTTTTAAACAAAACCCCTTACAACTCCCACACATACATAACTCTACTCATGACTGGCACAATGAAACCATACGCGTGAGAGGCGTCATGACCGGAACGGAATCACTCAAACATGTCAAACAACGACACAGCCCCAGCCTTTCCCTGGCCCATCTCTTCGCACGCTCCTGGGCTAAGGCCTGGTAAATCTCCCGTCGCTTTGGCTCGCCAAGGGCAGTCCATCTGGGCTGTGAAGCTACTGACGTCTGGCTAACCTCTTCGAAGCTGGGCACATGGTTGTCGGCAGGAAACCTTGGCGGTGCTGCGGAAAACAGGGAAAAGGTAGGCTGACACATGATGCCTGCCCATTGAACCGGCCTCCAACTTGAACCTATTGCATCCTGCCAAGAAACTGCAAGAAAACAGTCTCCAAAAGCAATGCCCTAAAAGCGCGCCACGCCTTCTCTTCTTCCCCTGCTTGGACCATCTGCTTCTCGGCAATTCTGGACTCAACCAGGCGTTGTCGCTCATGGGCAGACACTGCTGACCATCTTGGATCTTGGCCAAAGTGGGCCTCCAACTTGGTAAGTGCTCCTTGCACAGAATCTACCTCAAATGATCTCAAATGTCAAATGCCACATCAAAGGACCCTCCTTAGGCATCTGTATGGCATCTGTATAGGATAATATAGGATGTGGTCTACAAACTGTAAACATGTAGAATGTTTCAACAGGAATCTTTGCTTTCACAAACTTCTGCGGTGCATCTGTGTATGGACTTGGATGACATGAGCTCTCAGACAATAGGGCACTTGATGTTTTTTGGGTAGGAGCATTCGGAAGGCTTCGGGAAAGAAATGCATGTTATCAAGTATATAATTGAATTAAGTCCCATCCCCTTCGGCCCTTGAAAGATCTTTGATATGGGCACATATCCAGTTCGTCCGTGCTACCGGCAAGTCTGCAAAGTCCGCATGCTGCAGCAGCTGCAGGAAGCCTTCCCGGTTTTGCCGCCGGGTTTCCGCTTCAAGCTTTCTCTGCCTTGCTTGGCATCCGAGGAAGCCACCACCCTCTCCGCTAAAGAAAGGCATCCCACGATCAATAAATCACCGTCAAAAGACATAACGTGTTGCCAACTTGAAAGACAATATTACTACTGTTACAGTCAGTAATTAATCAGAAGTGGGACTTTGTTGTGGATGATGATCTGTGTGCCTTGATGATTCTCAAGCGAATCTCTGCTGCCTACTGTCCTGAGCAATGGGCAAAAATCAACTTGAACTGCCAGGGGTGCCCCCATGAAGCCACCAAAATCTAGTGAACAATTCTACTGCTAAGGATTTGTGACCTTGATTCCAAAAAAAAGCTAGCTTTATGTAGTGTTGGGTTCTCCATTGATTTGCTTGATTCCTTGTTGCCTTCCCAATCCATACCCTTCTGATTTCATAGCTTGGATTCTCCCAAATCTTCTGGTGGACGTCCTTTGTAGCTGCCTTTTTGAACAGGTACCACCAATTGCCACAAATCCACCTGCGAAGGGCCCAAACCCTGTATTATTCAGACCCTGAACAAAGCCAAACTTTTGACCTCTATTTTTTTGGTTTACTGATGGATTCCTTTATCAATTGAATATTGGCCGACTCCTGGAATCGTCCGTAAGCGATTCTTTCCTTTCTCAATCCGATTCCAATGGTAATTTCCGGAACCTTCCCGAATACCAATGTCAAATGTCCTTTGTTCTTCTCTCGAGACCTGCTCTCCCCGATGCTTGTCTAATTTGCCGTAACATTTTCTTTTGATCAGTAATATACCCAGTAGGGGCAGTTTGAGTAGGGATTTTGTGCGGACGTTTGAGCATTGCATTATGTTAGGAGCCCACTTCATCCCACTCAACTCCTTCTTTTGTCGCTTGGAAGCTAGAAGTTGCATTTTCGTTCACCCTTGACGCCCTGCTTTAGCGTTCAGCCTTCCCAGGCTAGGAAAGCCTAACATAGCCGAACCCTCCTCGAACCAGCAAAAATACCGACCAACTTTCAAGTCGAAGTGGCCCAGCCCCGAAGCTCTGCACCAGGCTCTGAAAAAGCTTCTTTCGTTGGCTTTTTGGGATGGCCCTGAAACGAGCATCCCCCAGCAAGCGAGGAAGCCAGCTTTCGTAGGAGTCGTAAGCTTGGGCCCCTACAGGGTGCTTCATGAATGGAACTATATTAATGCAATTGGCTGAACACAAGATCAATCACTGGCAAGGAAGTAAGGACCTGGCCAATCCAACCCTGGGCCTTTCTCCTGCAACAATGTCTTGAAGTTCTCTACCTTTTGCTTGGCGCGCTCAGCTGCAGTGCCTTGGACTTCATCAGAATCTGAGGTACTGGAGCAAGAGCTTGAAATACATTCCACGTCCAATGGCTTCAAGTCCACCTTTTTGGGCTTAGCTTCTGCTTTGGCTTCTTCAGGAGGAACCACCAAATCCAATGGCCCAGTGGGCACGGACCATCGAGACTCTTTGGTCTTGGGATTGAAGTAGTACGGCACGCCATACGGTGATGGGTGCACTTCCCAAATCTGCCGTAGCCCAGCAGCCTCCGCTGGGTCCATGGCAGGTCCAGGTGGATTTCACTATTTCAGGTGCAATGTCATAGCACGTGATGGTGTACGAGTGTGTGTGCGATGACATGGTAAATTAGGGGTGGTCTTGGCTGGTTGCAGTGCACCTGTCTGACTGGACAGTTGCCTGCGATTGTGAGGCTAAGGGCATCACTTGTCCAAGCAATGCAGTCAAAGACTGTGGCTGCGGGAGACTTATGCAAGCAGCCGCTGACAGGGCGTGGTTGATCGCAAGTTCCACTGCTCAACACGAGCTGTGGCTTGGACGGATGAGCCGACGTCGCGCTATGCAAGCAGCCGCTCAAATGGGACAGGTCGACTTGTCACCTTTGCACGTCCCAATGCCTTCCTTCTAAAGGCCAAGCATCGGGTTGGATCAGCTACAGAGCCAGCACTGCAAGTGTGCAGGGCACAAGTCGCAGCGCAGCAAAAGTCTTGAGCTTCACCTGGTGGATGCACCTTGGCCTGAGGGAAAGCATCTCAGTTAATGGCGAATCCAGATTGGTACACACATCCCACAGTGGCCCAGCACCCCTAGCAAACAGTTGAGGAGCATCCACTAGAATCCAGGATTGATTCAGAAAGGACACGCAGGATGATATGAAAGGGAAATGAGAGGACACAAAATCTATGGTTCAATGATGCTGTCTCACGAAAGAGAACAAATTCAGAAACCCTTGGAACACTGTTTTGGGCAATGGCAATATCTGCTTATATATATAATTACATAGTTTAATGAGTAGTTTAATGAGTGCCTAATACGAGTACTGAGTACTCGCCATAAAGGGGATGAGCTCGCAGTCGTATCATGGCTAAAGGTGGACAAACAATAGGAACAAAAAGCTAGCAAAAGGAACCTCAATGGTGAACCTCGTATAGTTACGACCCACATATCGATTAAAGGTGCCTGGTCAACAAAATAGTATGATGATACAATCTTGGAAAACATCTGTGATGCTCCCACTCTCTTACAGAGAAAGAGCTATATAGAGAAAAGGACCTCTCGGATGTATTTAAGAACTTGCATTAAAACAGGAGAAAGGAAGTCTAATCAAAGCAGTGGGGGTGGTGGATGGGTACAAGTAGGTGGGTGGCTGGCTGGATGGGCGGGTGGCAGTCAGAGTCAGAGGACATTGCTTCAAAGTAGTTCCCGAACTCTCACAGAAAGTTTGGGATTTGGAGGCGTGCAGTGAACACTTGTCATGATTGTATCGCATTGTGCAAACCAAGATTGAACGTTACCTGTGGCATTAGCAACAAGTAGAATGAATGGATTCAGCAACAATTACAATCAATTTAGTACTAGAGGGCCTCGCATATTAATGCGCTGCGGGGGTCCGCCGAACCAAGAGCAAATGCCAAAGTTTGTGTAAGTCAGTGTTGGATGACAAGTCCTCCTGCCTTCCGTTCAGCCCTTGCCGCATAGTTTGCCGCACACGTGACATTCTCACAGGTTTCTGCACAACACTCCTGTGATCTGGCTCAACAGCATCACGTGTTGCAGGGCAAGTATGTAATTGGTCTATCGGAGCTCTGATCAGTTCAGCTTGGCTAGTCAAACGCCACAAAGGCTAAAAAAGTACAAACACCCCAAACGCTGCAAAACAAGAAAGAGCTGCGAGAGAGAGAGAGAGAGAGCAACAAACGTTGTCAAATAGGTCAAACAATTATGTCAAATAGTTGTTCAACAATGTTCAACCACAACGTTTCCGACATCTCCTCTGCTGTTACTACCCCTGAATCTGCACCTCAACGGTGTTCCCTGCTGAATGCAGCTTCTGCGGGGCCACCTTCAAACAAATCGCACACAAATCGCTTGGAGTACCGACTAGCATCCAATTGTACAAAAACAAGTGCCACAAAAGGCTTCACCAAACACTTGACTCTGCCTGCAAGTGAGCAGGGCATGAAAAGCCTTCACAAGTCTTGTCACAGCATTGCTCTGCAGAAGAGCCCACGTTCGTGGCGTACGAAGGATTGGGCACCTGAAGCCAGGAACGCTTCGAGGTCCGCTCACAAAACTACATCGCTAGTGCAAAAGCTGGATAAGGTTCCATAAGGCCATAAGGTTCCAATCAAGGGGGCTGGAATAGAACCAACAATTACTTGTAAGGTTGGGACTCTCGTGCGTCAAGACACACAACTTATATGTAGTTGAAGTGTCAGTCAAAGCCGGACGTGTTTAAGCCACGGTGCAAAGCCCTTGCTGCAAGTGAAGAGCTTGCAGGTCTGCTGGCAACACTCAGCATCGCTGGATCCTTTTCAGATTGGAACAAGTTCTGAAAGCCAAAACCCAACTCTTCAATTATTTGAACCTCCGGAAGCCTCAAGTGATTGGATTGACTCCCTTCCCTCTGCTCCGGTTGCATGACTTGTCCAGTTTCCTTTTCTCACGGTTTCTCCCTCACAACACCTGTTCCACACCTGGTAGGTCGGCATGGTTTGGTTTCGGCGCCCAACCATCGCCTCAGAGTGTTCAAGGGGATCACTCTTGGCGGTTATCCATGGCTCTGAAACAGGCAAGTCGGCAAGTCTAAAACATTGCTTTCCTCAGCACGTTCTACTGAGGTTTGGAAGCGTCTCATCCTCTGACAGGGAAACCTTCAACCTGACCAAGCTGCCACAGGTGTAGTCATGGCAGTTTGCCGTAGCACTTTCCGTGCTGCCCTCCAACTCCTCTTCAACCTCATAGCAGGGACCGAAGAACTACTGGAACAATGAACGCCCACAGACTTTTTGTCCATGCCTAAGCCACTTCTGGCGATGGCTTCAGTGGCCGTTGGCCCTAAACCTACTGTGTGGTTAAAATATGTTAAAATGCTACGTGCAAAGGGAAAAGGATGAACTTAAAAAGTTTATGCAGGGGAAATGACATTTGTCACGAGTTCGTGCTTGGTGAGAAACGTTGAATAAAAGGAACATATCTAAGCTGTACAACAGCGTGCATACTGTACAAATTAGGGAGGTGCTCATAGTATGATGATGTATTTGTGATATGAAGGTCTTGAATTTTCCATGCCGCTTCGAGTTATCAACTCACATTAGAGTTTCCAACTCACGTAGAGCGTTCGTTTCACTCTCTCACACACACACACATATATATATATATCTATTTATTACAAATATAGTCATATAGTGCTCATTTCACAAGAATAGTATCCCTTTCATGGATCAGTTCATTCACATAGGGTGATGGTTTTTGTTTGTGTTTTGCATTGAACCTTGATTTGCATGTAACTAAGGCGTAACAAACACTACTTGGCCCACCCCCTGAGCACAATGAATCACAACGCTCAATAGACAATTGAGTTAGTGATACTTGGGGATGGGCCTTGTACATCTTCGCATGTGATCTACAAGGGCAGAAAGCCTGCTGTGCTATGCTGTGCTGCGTCAGGTTTCTGAACGGTGCCAAATCTGTCTCGATCCGATTCGCCACGGCGTCGAGAACGGACATATGCAGGCATCGGACCAAGCGGGTAGCTTCCGCTACGGACTTGGATGAAAGCAGCTCCTTGGAAGTGCTTTCAACTGACAAAAGAAAAGAGCTTTCAAGTAAAACATGAGCCCAATTCAATGACAAGCCCGGCCATGTTGGTGATGGGTGCGTCAAGGCCCTTGAACCAATGTGACATTACGTCCATTTGATGCTCTCTCATCTGGAAATCTCAAGTCCTTCGCATCCTTCCTCTGCTCCCCTTGTGGCCTTGCTCAAGCTGTCGAAGCTATGTCCCATTGCTATCCAAGCGGCTTGAAGCTCCAAACCTTCAAGCAGCTCAGAACACATTTTGGCCCTTCCGTTTCCTCGGTCCTCTTTAAATACAGTGCATTTGCGGCACTTTATTGTTCCACGGATTCAACGATGGAAGAAAAAGGCCTAGGCCTACAAAATTCAAACCTTGTAGCCTCATGGACGAATTGTCCACCATTCCCCAACTCTGGGAACTCCCCTCATTCTCTGCGGCAGCACAATGATAGAATACATTCAGACCAATAGCAATCATCTGGAAATGCATATGGCATAGGAAGCATCCCTTGCTGCTCTACACCAGCAGTGTCACAAGCCAATTGATGAAACGCACACACTGGAGCCGTTACCTTGTGTTGTGTGGAAAGGTCTGGCCGAGGAGCTTGCACCCAAGCTTTGTTTGTAGGCCCTTGAGGGCAATGCAAGCAGGACGAGGAGGACCTATCAAAATTGCTCTTCACTTATATATAATGAAAACCGGCATCATACACTTCAAACCTTTCTCATTCTCAATGTGCCAACTGTGGATCAATAATCTGGCTGCAATGTGCGCGGCTCTGCTTAATCCTAATTGTATGTGCACTCTTTTGTCCTCCATCTCTGACAATTGTCCGATTCCGCTTCTTTTGACAATTCCGTGCTGCCGTGCTGCCGACAAAAAACTCTGAAACTAGTAGTGAGAAATGCTCAGGTCATGATTTCTTTTTTGGCGTGCCTTCTTCATTGGGACGAACCTCAGCAGATTCAACAGCAAGCCTCGTCCAAACAACGGCCCCACCTTATTTTTTCTGCGTCCAAATTGTTAGGAACAAGGCCTGATGGAATAAACGTGTCTGTCGCCCAAGGCTCACTGCTTCCCAGCAAATCCCAGTAGCACACAAGAATGATATACTATATATATATGCATTCTTTACTACATAATTCAACACAAGAATATCTCTGTCCGGTTGGCGCTGAAATCCCCCCAAGTCGTCCGAAAGGCCTTTAACGTGTGGCTCTGTGCAGAATACGGATGCGCACTGAGCACTTGAGCACAAGACCATCACAAATCTGCACAAACTCACCTTGCATGGAGATATACTTTTTTACTTGTATACTTCCTTTCTTCGTTCAGAATCTGTGTGGCCAGTGGATAGTTGAGAGAAGGCTTTCAAAGATTTTTTGCAGTGACATCCCTAACCGAAGGGACAAAGCATCACAAGGCCATGTACATCCACCCACTCCGCTCCGCTCCCACCTGGATTCCGGGCCTCAGCTACAGGCATGCAGAAATATCATTTCTTGCTGACCACCAACAGAAATGAATCAGCTGGAAGTCTTGGGGCAAAGGGCGCAACAAATATGTCTCTCTCCCTACACTGCATCACTGTATGAATTATTGGAAATGGTAGCAAAGAAAGTGCGACACAACACTTCCATTTTCTGCTCTGCGCTGCACGCACATGGCTAGGATGGCTTGCACTAAGCAGCTTATGTCTCGGGCTCTGAAAGAAGAGAAGCCATGACTCACATCTGCTGTCATGTTCACAAGAATCAGCAACTTTGGCCGATGTCACAGGTCGTGCTGCCAATCTCCTCGAGCGGCAAAGTTCCAGTCTCAAAGGTCCTGCTGTTCGTTGCTGTATCATGCTGTATCTGTGAGCTGCTGTGAACAACTCTGGGAATTCTTGCACATGCTTCTGCTTGCACACAACCAATGCTTAGCAAACATATGCAAACAGCAGGTTGCTCTGGGCATTCAGGAGAAGCAAAATGAAGCGAGGCTGATGGTGCTGGCTACGTATGAGCGATGACCAAAACTCTTGGATGGAAACATGGAATAGCTGGAAAGGTATCGTTTGTTATGTTCTGGTACCCTTTTCCTAAGGAACATACCATATTACACCGTTACACGTGGAAACAAGGGACGTGTCTGATACGCCGCCCTGCAACTGCTCGTTTCTTTTTGGTTGTTTTCTTGTCTGCTGATCTTGTGTTGGTATGTGCAATAGGTTTGTTTTAGAAGCGTCTTTGCCGGTGCATGAATCAAATTGCAATGTTTTACCCCGGAAGATGCTTCTATCGATCGTTTCGCTACAGCGACATGCTAATCGTTGTATTCGGCTTGTGCTCTTTGAACATGCTCAACAATTGTTCTGCACGTGTGTTTGGTGCTCCAAAAAATTGATTTGCCGCTGCTGGAGCAAAGCCAAAAACGACGAGACCTATAATGATGCCAAAACCTGCAAACATTTGCTTTGCTAGACCCTGGCCCAACTGCCCAAGAGTCCGAGTAAAAGCGACAACGACATTCGCTTGTAAGAAGCAAGAGGCTGCTGTTGTTTCTGGATCGCGGCTGATACGCCGCCGTTGTGCCTGTACCCACGTCATGGTTCGGTTGTCGGGTGGCATAGAATGGAGTGGGTGGGGTCATGACAGATTGTGGCGATGTAGGGCCTCAGTTTTACGTGTATATATATATATATGTGTGTGTGTGTAACTGTGTTTCCCTTGTGGTGTATTACAAGGTACTCCTTTCAATTACCTTTGCTTCTATGCAACATCCAAACCAACTGCAAATACCAATATATATATAGTTATATATATATAAATCAGGTATATAACGACCTTCAAGTCGAAGGAATACAGTAACACTGTTCCGCAGGACTATTTATGAAACACATTTCGTGTTGAGTTGCAAATGTCGCAAATCCCCGCCCTTATTATATTGTAACTATTATATCATATCCGAATATCGAACCATACCGTGTACTTCATGGCTTGGAAACGGCAGCAAGCAATTCATCAAGAATCACATGCATGTATGCTATACTGTATGCTGCCGAGGCTTTCCATCCAATGTTTGAGCTTCCTACCGGTGCATGTCAACTACAGTATATAAATGTTGGTCCCATCAGCATGTTTGAATTGAATTGCCTAGCCTAGACGTCGCACTCGTGCTTAAACATATGAATCATATGATGACATCATGACATGACCACATGCAATGATACGCGTGAATGGCATCTGGCGTCCAGCTCATGTCCTGAAACCACTTATCCACTTCGCTCCCAGAACTCTTTAGAAAGGTCATCCTGGGTTAGGGCAGTTTGTCCGCCGATGATGCACACGACAAGGAAGCCGACCATGCCGATGACGTGCCATTTATATACAGTAATTGAGTTTTCCACTTGTGGTCCCTGGCCTAGATTCTATCTTCAACTTGCAACCAAGCATTTTTTCTCGGAAGCATCTAAAGCAGGATACAACAACAAGGCCCGCACCATGACCTTCTACCAACTAAGTGAAGCCCGTCCTATAGCTCATTTGGATGCACTGCGGTTTTCTGCTGCTGACCAAGGATCTGTTGGAGTGCCTCTTGCAAATCCGAAGGCAACGGAGCCTCCACAGTTGAATGTGTTGGGCGGTCAAATTGCCAGATGTTCAATAATCATTCAATATGAGTTGATGAATAACATCCCTTGAAGCTGAATCCCCAGGGGCAGCTTGACAAACAGTTGAGCCGATGATCAAATATAAAGACATCAGAAGCACTTGAGCGATAGGCTTGAAGTGGATCCCATGGGGCTAACCGAAGGATCACAACAAGAAAAACAGGAAACAAGAAAGCTGAGGACACCCTTTGAACTTAAATGAACCCCAAATGCAAAAGAATTCCTTATTCCTTGGTGTTCGTTTGGTGGCCCCCCCGACCTGTGGCTTGATGACTCGCCCATGGCGATCGTAGAAACTCAATGCATACCGGTGGAGCCAATTACGAGGGCCTGAGTGCACAGCACCGATGGCGAGACCGGACATCAAGGTAAAGGTTTCTGGGTTTTGAGGTGTTCTGATCACAATGCCAGTCAATCTTTCTGGTGCTGTTGCAACAAATTGAGAACAAAACAAAACAACATAGCGGGCTCTTTTTGCCTCACCTTCAATATGCATACTTGTCCTCCACCTCCTTTTTCTTCACAACAAACGAAACAAAACTACCTATCGCGAGGCGCATGTATTGCGGACAATGACATTTAAAACTCCTCATGTGTTCGCTTCTCAATCCATCTGCACCCTGGCAGTGACATCGGCAACTTGTTGCTCAAGGCCTCCCCAAAGACACCCAAGTGAGCCCAGCGGTTCCTCGGTTGCAACCGCCCGCGGCAAACGGCAATTCAACGTTGATCTCGTCGCCACTGAGAGCTCCATGGATCTCCACAGGTTCTGGCACTCTGGGGCTGAAGCAACCTTTGCGCTTCACACCCTGAACAATTATAGTGAAATTCGTGCTTTCTGCTGCTCGCACCTCGCCCCAATATTCATGCTCCCAAGCAGCTCCTTGTTCGTATTCATCGTAGTCTTCGTCTTCAGAATCCGAAGTGATCTCTGACTCATGCATCCACACTGTGCACTTGCCATCACCAAATTTGAGGACAATTTCAGCATTTGTGTTCAACCCAGCAGGGGCGTTGCTGTCATCATACTCCTTCGATTGAAATGTCCCATCTGGCAACGGAGAGACTATGAGGGACAGGAGCTCATCTTCTTGAAGAGCTTTCTCAAGCTTCACTGTATCATCTAGAATTTCTGTTCCGTGAAGAATTCTCATTCCTCCAGGTGCAGTTCCCAAGGTTGCCTGAAGCTTGGCTTTCAAGTCCTTGACACTTTCGTGCGCCTCAGCAGGTACAATGACCTCCTCGCCAGCAGGTGTCGCAACCCTCAGCATTTGGTCTGGTATGGGGGGGTGCTCGCGTAGCAGCCGTAACAGGCCAAGTAGAAAGCTGGAGCCCTGAACAGCTACCAAGGCATTCTTTGGAGATATCTCAATGATGCAAAGTGCGCGCAATCCCTGCCACAATTGCCAAAAAGCACGGTCTACAAAAAAGGTTTGCGCACCACACCGTGGCACTATACATACACAAATGCAGTATCCCCAAAATCCTACCAAAACTAGCAATAACTGAGTGGCGAATACACATTCGTGAGGAAATGCATTGTGCTAGTGCCCTGTGCCCTGCAAGCTCATTCAAGTCGAGCAGCTAATATTCAGGTCTGCCTTATATACCGTTGCAGACGCATAAAGGCCATCTGAAACCTTGGAAGAAGAACTGAAAGGATGATGGAAGCTCTCCATAAAGGCTTGTATGGGCGGGTCTGAATTCCATCCGCCAGGCAACAGTTGGATGTCCGCTGTGGCTCAAATGGCTTCGTATCTGGTGCCGTCTCCCAGTCAAGATCTCCAGGTGAACCAATGAAAATGCCATCATGGTGGTGAAATGAATCAAAGGTAGGGTGGCCATCACCTCAATCAGCATACGCTGGCAAGCAGCCTTCATCTCTATCTCTCTCTCTCTCTCTGTCTGTGTCTGTGTCTGTCTGTCTTTCTTTCTGTCTTTTTCTTTTTTAATTTCTGTTCTGTTCTTTTCTTTTCTTTTCTGTCTGTCCTTTCTTTCTTTCTTTGAGCTGACAGGGGGTATTGAAACTACTGTACGGACCACTGCATCTTTGGCGGTTTGGGCCTTTGATTGGTAGGGAGCGGTAGCAGTACATTGTCTTGCCGCTTGACTCTGCTAGTCTGATCGACCACCTCAGGCCCCGGCTTTCGTGCAGCTAGCTTTCCTCACTTGCATGAGTCTGCAAACTCACTTGCAAAGCCCTGAACATAATTCAGCCTGCCAAACCTATGACTTTCATGTATTTTGCGTGGATGTCTGCAGCCACTGGAACTATGCCAACTACGCTTGAGGAATGAAGCGATTTCTTGAGGAACATGGCTTGATTCACCGGTTCATAACTCAAGGCCAGACTCCCACGACCACCTGCCACAGTGGGTCCATTCCCCCACCAAAACAGGCTGGCCTCCAGAACTATCACATGAAAGCGAAGGGCTCTTTCATTTCTACCGTTGCTACAGGTTCCAGCATTACTTACAGTAATGGTGATTTAGCCACCGCAGCGCCACAGCCATTGGAAATTCGGCGCTGCTGTGATGCAACACGAGCAAAACTGCAGCAAAACCCTGCCTCGTGGCAGCGTGGCCGTAGCCAGCCATGAGCCATCGCCACATATCTCCGCGACATATCTGTGCAAAGCTGCACCTAAAGGGGGGGTCTTCAGTCTTTTCTTGAACAGCTTGCGCCAAAAAGGCGGCACATGACGCCCCTGCCCAGGCACTTGCAGATCATAGAAAGCTTCAAAGGTTTTGGCCACAACCTCATGTTTCGGTTTCTCAACTCCGCATCCCATTCAAATTCATTCAGCTGGCTAATCTCCAAACTCTACACAAATCTAGAACACATGTCAATCATTTGCCACGTATTGTGAGCCAAAATCCTGGAAGGTGACAACATCTAAGTGCCCTGACGATCTCAAGAGTAGCACAATTGCACAATGAACAGGTTGGTCAACTCTCTCTCTCGGATATTCAAACACGTACAATGCAACTAATTCCTGAGGCTTTTGTCGTGGGTTCCATATAAACCTGGGCATTGGGAGCGCAGTCTCCAGTCTCCGAGCGGCCACCAAACCCGAGCTGGGCACATCCAGGCGGTGCAGAAAACCCCGACGATGTTTGGAGTCGCTGAAAATGGGCCAAGGCCCAAAGGCCTCAAAACCCCAAACCATGGAAACCAGGATGGAAAAAGAATGGAAAGGATGGAAACATATGGAAACCATTAAATGATATTGAACGTATTCCAGGTGATGCGAAAACTTGTCGCAACTGACCACAGCGGATCTCCCTTAGTTGTCAACAGTTGTCGCCACAGTGGCTCGTTTGGGGCATGGTTTGTGCTTTTCCATGGACGCTTCTAGATTAGAAGACTGCAGTACGTGGGTTGTGCAGGTCGATAGCATCTGTCTGGTCTGTTGGTCTCAACAGCAGGCAATGCAGGCAATGCAGCACAGGGGCATCCGAAGCGATGTTGCACAGCTGCTTTTCTTCCACACATTGGTCGTAGACATCCCATCCTGCTGCAGTCTGCTGAATTCCAATCATGAATACTAGGAACAAGAAGCTACTAGGGGCTCCTGGCCTTACTACTAGGAGCAAGGACGCTACTAGGGGCTCCTGGCCTTACTACTAGGAGCAAGGACGCTACTAAGGGCTCCTGGCATCGCTACTAGGAACAAGAAGCTACTACACCCCAAAGGTGGAATCTTGTCTGAAAATATGCTCACGACAAACGGCAACGGATTGATATGGATTGAAGCAGGACTCAGGTCCTGGTGGCTTCAAAAGGACCGCTCGATCAGGGAGGTCTTGAATAATCAACTCTGACCTCTCAAGGGGCAAAGGGCGCCTCCTGCCAAAGGCTCGGATCTCCAAGGCTCGGTTGCACACTCTCTCTCTCCCTCTCTGCTAGAAACAAATGGTATCGCTACTAGGAGCAAGAAGCTACTAGTAGCTCGTGGCATAATATACTACTAGTAAAGAGAAGCGACTAGCAACGTATATACATCTCTCTCTTTCTCTCTCTCTCTCTCTGCAACCGAACAAGGTGTGCACTAAACACTGCTGCCCCCAAGCCATGCTGCCACCATGATAGCAATCGCATACTGTACTGTAGTCGCTAGAGCTCTTGCAGCAACAAACTTATATAAGGTTTGCTGATTAAACTTGCAACCACGAAGCAACAATTGACGCTGTCCTCAATGGCAATTCCCTTGGAACTGGAGCTGCAGCAATTTTTAGCCAAGACCGAACAATTGCCACCATACGCCTGTGTAGGCAAGATTGCATCTTGAGCTCAGCCCACACAAGTCCAGACATAATTAAACAGCAATAACTCACGTAACTCAATATATATATATATATATAACTCCCAAACACATCCAGGTCCAAACCAAATCACAAGACATCACAAACCACGATCTTATCAACAGTCTGCGCATCAGCATTACCTCATGCCAAGACCGGTCCTCATCTCCTGCCTGGAGGTGCAGTTCAAAACTCTAGACACCCACAGCACTCCCAACACGCTCTCAGCGGCCTGGGCGTGGCATGGGTTTGGGCTGAGCAAGTGACTGAGTGGTACATGGGATGATGTGATGGTTGAGCAGTGACATCAAAACTATGCACCCACAATATTTGATATTACTTGATACTGAGCTGGCATCTCCAATAATCATCAATTAAGGGACAATCAAGGGAATATGACGAGGATCAATGTGCTGCCGCTTCAGTACCATTGTTACCTAACCGGGGTCCAAAGGAATCAAACCCTGGCAAGAACACCCAGCCTCTTCAAACACTCCAACATCTCCTGTCTTCAATCCTAAGGTACCATCACACAATGCTGTTCGCAAAGCATCGCATGTTGCCACGTGTCATGCCTGCTCATCGGGGACGGGTGATACAAACCACCGCCAACTCATCACCCCACATCCCCTTGTGCCATGTCGTGCCCAGAGTCGTGCAAGGCAACATTCTTGGATGGCTGGTAGGATAGTGGCAGATGTCCAACCCAGTGCAGCGGCGACCTGGAGCTATACCAAAGCTTCGAAAGCACTTTGGTTCCACCATGTTCCAGCTGCCTGCACGAGACATGTGTAACCCAAGAACTTGTCCCTGTGATGCTTGGCAACTTGCTTCATAGGTCACGATTATCCATTTGGTATTCTCTTTGCACTTCCAAGACAGGCAAGACTGCGGCAAGACACCGGAATGCACAAGACTTTTAGGATTTGGAGGATTCAGTGTCCCAAATAATAGGATTTGGAGCCGACCGCTTCGACTGTTCATCTGTTTGGCCACAGGCACTTGCAGTTGCTGAAGTGACATCTGAGGCAAGACTCTCCTGAAACAGCCGAAACATAGCCATTCATCATCATTCATCTATCCGTTCGTCTCTGTCCAAGAGCAAATACAGGGGCCAGTGCATCGGAGTAGACAAAATTACCCACACAGAAGGTGCACATGAAAAGTTACTGGACTGCCGGACTGCCTATGCAATATTATCAGCAGCAATCTTTCAAGATCCCACTGCTGCACAACTTGTGCCCATTCAATGGCAATTCAAGAGCCGTAACGTCCTTACGCTCTTTTCCAATCTCTTGGACAGGGGCTTGCAATCAATGCCGAGTACGAGCGATGCGCTGCAAAGCTGAAGAGTCTCCTGGTAGCTGGATCCACCGGGGCTTGAGGTCATAAGCTCGATCCACATGGGATAGCAATGATCAAATAATGAGGATATAAACCTTCTGATCCTTCTGATACGACCTACAACTGGCTTCACCCCCCCAGGCCTGCATGTTGAGAAGACCTTCTAGCCGCAGCACAGGAAGCAAAGCAGCGCTTAAATGCCATGGGTCCTTGAATCGAATGACTCCACTATGTGGCTTCTTGAGAAGGAGGCCTGCATTGCGGCATTGTTGAAAGAGGGCAATAACCACGCACAGGTACTTTCTCACAAAGACAAACCACTTATTTTCACGTGCCCTTTTTGAATCCAAACATTATGCTCATTCAACGTGCATAGAAAGGCAGCAAGGCAGCCGAGAAGCGGAGCCATAGATTTGAGACAAACACCACAAAGGGCCCACCTAGAAAGGATGGGCCAGGAAAACCGGAAAAAGGTCTGTGCATCTGGTCTGGATCGGGCGACCACAGATTTCTCTTTATCGCCGTAGTGCTCCTGTGAGCCGCGCGCCGTGAGCAGCCAAGCTGCAGGCCCACACATCTGCATGGCCAGCACCATAGCTATTTCTTGTTGCCCACATGCCGCGCATGCGCGAGCAGCGTCCAGTTTAGCTTGATTGGAATGCACCTGACACAAGGCCAGCCCAGCTGACAAATAGCAGTTGCTGCCATGATTGTTGTGAGATATGTAATATATGCTTATGTTCTCGTAATACGTCGTGTAGCCTGTACTTGTGCGACCTCGCCTCTGCACCCTGCATGGTCCGCAGAAATTGTAAAGTTTCTTCCCACTGGTCTGCATGCCTTGGCCAGGTAGGCCAACCAAAAACTCAGGATTCCCTCTCGGAGGTGGCCAAAGAAAGGTGCGGCAGGGGCAAACAGGTGAGAAAACTTGCTGTTGTGGTGGTGGTTGTAATTGTCGTTCATGTTGCTTTTGTTGTTGTGGGGTTGCAGTAGGAGTAGTAGCAGGAGTGGTAGTGGTAGTGGTAGTGGGAGTGCTAGTAGTAGTAGTAGTAGTAGGAGTAGTAGTAGTAGTAGTAGTCGTCGTAGTCGTAGTCGTAGTCGTAGTCGTAGTCGTAGTAGTAGTAGTAGTAGTAGGTAGTAGTAATAGCAGCAGCAGCAGCAGCAGTAGGAGTAGTAGTAGTAGTGGTAGTAGTAGTAGTAGTAGTTATAGTTAGGAGAAGTTAGTAGAAGATA